GTTGCCTCTTGACTCAATCCCCATCCTTCCATATGCTCCACTGCGGGAGCCTGGAAGATGGGAAATGACACTTCCCTCAGCTCCCCTGCCAGCTGGCCTCTGGCTAGATTTTGCTAATGGGAAGCACCAAAGAGGGATCAGAAGTCAGGATGGAAGAGAAGACATTTCCTGTTTCTGGTGGAGCCGTCAATGGCTGGTCAGTCTGGGCTGGTTGCTTCTTGCTTACAAATCGCAGTACCAATACTGGTCACACCAGCCTCATAAATACAGCAATTGTGTCTATAATATCATTTTTCCCTCTTGCCCCTCTAGCCTAGAGATCTTTTATTAAAGACTTTATTTATTAATGAGAGAGAGAGAGAGAGGCAGAGACACAGGCAGAGGGAGAAGCAGGCTCCATGCAGGGAGCCCGATGCGGAACTCGAACCTGGGCCTCCAGGATCACGCCCTGGGCCGAAGGCGGCGCTAAACCGCTGAGCCACCCGGGCTGCCCTAGCCCTAGAGATCTTAATCCCTGCGTAGTCTCATCATCCCCTATGTAATACTCCAGGCCTTGTAATTTTTATCATTATTATTCATGAGAGACACAGAGAAAGAGGCAAAGACACAGGCAGAGGGAAAATGGGGAACCTGATGTAGAACTCGATCCCAGGACCCTGGGATCACAACCTGTGCCAAAGGTAGATGCCTAACCACCCAGGTACCCCTATACGTTTGTTTCTTTACCACTACACATCTCCTCCAAGTTCCCACGGCAAGGGAGGTGTGAGATGGAGGTGGCACCCCAGCTCCCATGTGTTTTGACTTAGACATAGCACAGGTCACTTCCCTTCATAGTCTCCTGGCCACACTAATCATTTAACCCCAGCTGAACTGCATGTAACACTTGGAAATATAAGGGAACACTTGGAATATTTGGTGAGTGCTATTTGTCTCTATTATGACTTAAGAAGGAGAAATATGTGGTATGAGGAAACAGATTAATGCAGGAGAGAAAGAGACACAAAGTCCCAGATGATGACACTAGACTCTCAGGCTGGCAGCAGCACTCCAGAGGGCAAACTGCCCAATTTGAATGCAAAGGAAGGAGGCTCCAGAAGGGATGTCTGGGAAAAAAAATGAAACAAATAGATTTTCTGACGAGTTTGACCAGGTGGAAATTTGGGTTCACAGGCATTTATAGATCCAAAAGAGGACACAAAAAGACTTTTCAGGAGTTTCTAAAAAGGAATCAAAGCAAATTTTAAAAAAGAAAAGAAAAAGGGGCACCTGGATGGCCCAGCAGTTGAGCATCTGCCTTTGGCTCAGGTCATGATCCTGGGGTCCTGAGATCGAGTCCTCATAGGGAGCCTGCTTCTCCCTCTGCCTATGTCTCTGCCTCTCTCTCTGTGTCTCTCATGAATAAACGGTTTTTTTTTTAAAGGGAACTCATACAAATACTTTTACTGGACTTGGCAGTGAAAATTATTTCCAGAGATGTACTTATGGGAATAATAAATGTGGATTTACCCCAGACTGTGATAAAATTGTGTGGAAAGGGCCATCCTGCCCTGTAGTTCTGCAGCTGACCACCAGAGTTGTACAGACTCTACAAGATAATGGCATCATGCCCAGCAAGTAGACAACAGCTGCAAGTTCAGGAGTCCCCAGGAACCCCGGAACTTCTCACTAACTGGCTACAAATTCAGGGATTCATTTGTCCTACTCAGGTTGGATAATTAACTAGATTAACTCACAGAATTCAAGAAAGTGCTGGACTTACGATTACAGTTTTACTACAAAGGATATAAAGCACGACCAGTCATGGTCCCTGAAGAGATCCAAGGTCTGGGAGAGTCCTGAATGTAGAGCTTCCATGTCCTCTATTCTGGACACGAGTGGCTCTCGCCAACCAGGAAGCTCACCTGAACCTTGGTGCCCACAGTTTTTATTGATGTTTCATTATGTAGGCATGATCGATTGAATCCTCGGCCATTTGACTAACCTCAATCTCTAGCCCCAAAGGTTGGTTTGATATCACCGGGTTCAGAGCCCCAACCCTGTAATCACATGGTTGGTCTTTCTGGTATGACCAGCTCCCATCCTGAAGCTAATCCAGTCCCCTCGCCCCCTGAATAACAAAGACATTCCTATCACTGGAGAGATTCCAAAGGTGTAGAAGTTCTATCCCAGAAAACTGGATGAAGACCAGACAAGTTATTGCAGGTAAAAGGAGGACATGTGCGTGCGTGGCATAAGGAGTTAAATCTGCATCTTCCAAAGTGGGATGTCCACAGATACTACCTAAAATGGAAAAACCAAATAATAGCATTATAAGCATATTATTTAGAAACATGGGAGGAAATATCAGAAGAAATGGGAGGGGACTCAGAAGCGAGGAGAGATTTTTGTGGTTGCTAAAGCCTCACAGAACAATTTGACTTATTCATTCAGAATATGTATTGCCTGGAGAAAAAAAAAATTTGAGAGGGGCACCTGGGTGGCTCAGTTGGTTAAGGGCTGGACTCGTGGGTAGCCCAGGTGGCTCAGCGGTCTGATCCTAGAGACCCGGGATTGAGTCCCACGTCGGGCTCCCTGCATGTAGCCTGCTTCTCCCTCTGCCTGTGCCTCTGCCTTTCTCTCTCTCTCTCTCTCTCTCTCTCTCTCTCTCTCTCATGAATACATAAATAAATTTTTTTTTTTAAAAAAAGGGTTGGACTCTTGATTTCAGCTCAGGTCATGATCTCAGGGTTGTGAGATCGAGTTCCGTGTTGGGCTTCATGCTGGACATGGAGCTTGCTTGGGATTCTCTCTCTCCCTCTTGCTTGCCCCTCCCCACCCCTCTGCCTGCTCTCTCTCTCTCTCAAAAAAAAAATCTTTTTTTTTTAATTTAAAGAAGAGGAAGAAAAGAGGTGTTCAGTCATAGACAGGAGAAGTGCTTTTCAGGACAGAACCATTGATTTGGGAAGACACCTTACATAGGTTTTGATAGCGTATAGATGAGCAATGTGTTTGGTAAAGGAAGTAGAGCCTGCAAAGGAGTCAGAAAGGAGGCAGATAGAGAGGAAGGAGGAACCAAGGGTGGTACCTCTCATCAGCCACCAGAGAACTGTCCAAAGCTGCCTAGAGAGGAATAGCATGCGAGCTCTAGTGACGTGGAGGTCAGTGGTGACATTAGAGAGAGCTGTCTGGATGGAGTGATGGGGCTGAGGCCAAGTTGGAGAAGGAGAAGGAGGGACAGGTAGATGGAGATATGGCCAGAGCTGCTATGGGGCATCTTTCCAGGAACTTTGGTCATGGAGGGCAGGAGAGAGAAGAGGTTGCATATTTTTAAGATGGGAGAGCCTGGAGAATGAGCAAATGCTCTTGGAAAGAAGCCAGCAGAGAGAGAGAGAGAGAGAGAGAGAGAGAGATTAAAGATTCAGGGAGTAAGTGGATCATCTGGATCCTCTGGGCATGAGGTCTCCCAGGAGGAAATAGGAGGCAGAGACAGCTCTGCTCCCAACCCTCCCAGGGGAGGGAAAGGTGCACATCTGGCTGGCCAGAGGGGAGATGCTCACTTATCCTTAAACTCCTGGCTAGTAGAGTGCTGTTCCTATTCCACAGATGCAAGGTAATAATTTGCTCATTACCCAACTGGAAGAGGCCATTGTGAATCCAGATTTCCTGCCTCCTTACTCCCTTTCCTGCTGCACTTACTCCCCTGATGAGGCAGAGGTGGTCCTCTGTCCTCTGGAGTATCTAGTCTGGGGGTGAAGCTGCCAGACAGAGTGCAAGCTTTTCAGAGGAGGGTTAGAGAAATCCAGAGCTCCACTACCTGTAGGGTCAGGAAGTATCCAAAAATGGGTGGCCATGTGAGCATGGAGACAGTAAGGAGGGCAGAGGACTGTGACCCTATGAGGGCTCTGCCCTCGTCCAGTGAGGCATTCTCATACTCTACCCCAGGAACAGCTCTCCAGGGCCAGATCTTTGGGTTTTTCAAGAGAATTCGAGTATCCCGATCTCAGTGTGAACCCTCCAGATTAGGACAGTGCGGTGCAGCAAAGTGATGGGATATCAAGATGGTCAGGTAAGGCATCCGGGAGGAGGAGGCCCCTGACCCAGGCAGGGGTTAGCGTGGCGTATCTGAGGAGGCCTCTGCACAGCCCCAGTAGGGATGGAGTCCTGCAGAGGGCGAAGGGGGTCAGGTACTGACGGGGGTGGGGGTGGGGGTGTGGCTCTTGGACTTACCCTTCAGTTAACAAGGGTGGCCTCCCAGGGCCCTGTCCGGTCCTTTGGGGTCCAAGCGCGCACAAACTCCGCGCGCCCCCCCCTTCCATCGCCATCCCAGGCTCCAGGAGGAGGAGTTGCAGGTGCGAGGTGCGGAGGGGGCGGCCTCCATTGGGTCCGCTGGGGGGCGGAATGGGGCCTCCTCATTAGGTGAGTGTCATCTAATATGCTAATGAACCACAGCGTGGACGGGGGCCCGGGCGCCCCGAGGCTGCACGCGCCCCCCCGGCGGCCGCCGGGCCCGGGCCGGGAGCCTCGCCCGCAGCCCCCGCGCAGCGCAAGTCGCCACCCGCGGGCGAGCGGCCGGGCCTGGAAGGGTTAAGCCCACCGAGCTCGCGGCGGCCTAGAGCGGCGGCGGCGGCGGCGGCGGCGGCGCGGGGGCCGGGGCGCGGGGCGCGCGGGGGGCGGGCGGGGGACAGGATGCGGATGCCGGGGGGACTTCCTGTGCCGGCCCCGCCGCCCCCGCCCCCGCCCCCGCCCCCGGCCCCGGCCCGGCCCGGCCCGGCCCGCTGCGCCGCCGCCGCCGCCGCCGCCCGCCGCCCGCCGCCCGCTGCCGGCCGGACGCACGCCCCGGCGGGCGGGCGAGCCCACGGGACCCCGGCGCGGGCCGTCCCCGCGCGCCGGCTCCGGGCACCTGTGGCCGCGGGCGGACCCCGGCCGGGCGGAGACGGTTTCGCCCGCCCCGCGCGCCCCCCCGGCCCCCCCGGCCCCCCGCCCGCCCCGCGCGCCCCCCCGGCCCCCCGCCCGCCCGCGCCCGCCCGCGCCCGCCGCCCTCTCCGGGGAGCCGACACCAACTTCTGCTGGCGAACTCCGTTCTGCCCCTTTGTGGCCCAGGGCGACCTCAGCAGCCCTGAGCGACAGCCCCGCCGCAGTGCCCAGAGAGGCCCCCGGGTGGCCCAGCGCCTCCCCGGCGCTTTCTGGATGGAGGCGCCTCAGGAAGAAGCTGGCTGACGCTTTGGCCTGCACCTTCCAGCCCCTGCTGACCACACCTCCCCTAGTGCAGAGGCCGCGGTGAGGAGCAGGAAATGCTGAACCAGGTGAGGCCCAGTGGGTTGGGGAGCCGGCCAACCCGGGGGCGCTGCCCTTGAGGGCTTCGAGCTGGATTCTGAAAGGGGGGGGCTGGAGTTATCTTGTGAGGAGGGGAGGCAGGACTGGATGCGCTGACACGTCTGCAGGGGCCAGGGTGGAGGCAGGAGAGAGCTGGGGAACCCTCCAGACTTCAGGATCCCCTGGGCCGCGGCTGGTTCCGTGGGTTGCAGTGCTCTGGAATCCTGCCTTCCCAGGGAGCTGAGGTGGCATCTGGAACCTGTGGCCTGCATGTGGGCTTGGAAGACCGGATGAACCCCAACAGCTGTCTGGGAGGCAAGAAACCAGGGAGGTGAACCCACTTGTCAGTTGCTTTGAAGGAGGCGGTGGAACGTGAGATGTGTCTCTTTTTCTGCAAACTTCCTCATGTGTCCCTCCTGGGACTCCAGCTCCCCATCCCACTGAAGGCCGGTTCCCACAGTTGGCCCTCAGTGTGGAGCACACGCACCTGCAGTCCCGAGGCATGGGGCTGAATGTGGGCCTTGCAAAGTTGAGAGACAAGAGAGAAAGGATTGCCTCTGCAGGGAAATGAAGGGGCCCTGGGAGCTGAGCCTCCAGGCAGCCCTGCTCTTCCCTTCCCCAGCTGTGGACTGCACTATCCTTTCCGGCCTGGCTGGAGCTGCTGGCTCTGGGGCCCGAGGCAGAGACTGGGGGGCTCTCTGGCAGTTACCACCACTGGGCAAGCCAGAGGTGGGGTGCTCCCAGCACTCCTGCCCACCTGAACAGCTTCCTTCCTTCCTCTCAGCACAGCTGGCTCCTCAGGATCTGGGTCTGAACGCTAGGATGGAGCTGGGGGCAGTGGCCAAAACCTTCGTGCTGGAGCTTCGGTGTCTTGAAGATGGGGGCCCAGGGCCTGACACCCTCTCAGGTGAGGGGCTTCAGAGGGGTGTGGGCTCTGACCTAAAGCAGAAAATAGTCCTCAGGCTCCCAGAGGATCTTTTGACAGAGCCCCAGGCCTGCTGTGGCCAAGGGGGTGGGGGTGTGCATTCTGCAGGATGGTGGGCAGCCTGCTGTCCACAAGGGTGCTCACCTGGTGGTTTCCGGGTGGGGAGGGCAGCCTGCAGCCACTCACGTCACACCAGCCCACTTCAGTTCGCCTCAGGATTTTCTGAGGCAGCTCAATCAGGCCATGGTTTTGCTGGTGACAGGCTCTCAACAGTGCAGACATTCTCAGCCCATGCCCTGAACCCCAGATATGTGCTGGCTGGGAGCTGCTGCTTTGTCCCCAGTGGTCAGGGAACCTCCATTGTCCTCCTACCTGTCCCTGGCTCCAGACTCAAGTTCTCAGATTGAATTCAGGGGCTCTCTCCCCCTGCCCCTTGTACCTCAGGCATTGGCCCCTTGGCTTGGCTTGCCTTTGTCCTGTGGCCTTCTCTGACCTTGTCTACTTTTCCTGACCTCTGCTTTTCCATCCTTCTCTCTCCCCTTTTGCCCAGAAGCATAGGTGGCCCTGTAGAACCTTCCAAGATGCCTTCTCCATCTGAGACTCACTCTGGGCCAACTTTCGATGATGGTCATGCTCCTGGTAGCCAATTTCCCTCCCTGTGCTTTGAGCACACCAAGTGGGGGCTGGGCCAGGGTTGAACAGCATGAAAAGAACCAAAGGAATTGGAAGGTTTGGTTAGGGATGTGTGGACTGAATGAAGCGTCTTCAGGCTCAAATATTTAACTGAGAAAAGTCTTGGAAGGGTATGCACTTCAGGTGACACTTAATATGTTTACTAAAACATCATCGTTAAAAATGCTGACATTGCTGCAAGAAGCCAGGACTAGCCACACAGCCAAGTGCTGTGCTAGAAATGTGAGGATTCACACAGAGGCACGATGTGTCCCTGTTCCTCCCAGAGGTGCTGGGAGGCTGGTTTGGCTCAGACCTGCTGTGGGGGAGACAGGTTTTCATGGCTGTCTTTGCTCACCAGCCACATACTCATTGCTGGTGTGTGTGTATGAAAAATACTTGTCCCTCTCTCTGTGTCTCATGAATAAACAAAATCTTAAAAAAAATAAAAAAGAATGTTATTAGAAATAGTTTTCTTCTTTCTTTCTTTTCTTTCTTTTTTTAGAAATAGTTTTCTAAAAGGAAATTATTTACATGGAGATATCCTTTCATTTTTTATTAAATCAATATGCTCCTAGAAAAAGTGGCCAGAAAGCAAAATTTTTTAAATCGAACCTCTGCTTTCTTTTACAAAACTGAACATATGAGGCTATAGGAAGAGCAGGGTTGAAATCAGACTTGGGAATGGAACAAGCCTCTTGGGATTTTCTATGAACACGGCATGAATGCTCAAAATGAGAAATAACAGGTGGATACTGTGCAGACAGTGAAACGTGACAGTGGAGTAACACCTATGTTGCACAACACTGGGCTGCACTTATACCCCCTCGAATTTTCACTGTGGCCCTGAGAAGGGTCCATCTTCTTTTGGTTTTCCATCTTCTCTGAGTCAGGAAAACTCAGGTTCCCAGAGGTTACATACCTGGCTACTCACCGTACTGACATGGGGCTATGGAGATAATCCTTTCCATTCCAGACTAACAGTCTCAAACACGTCCAGTCTGTAGGCTATTTCAAACGGAGTCAGTTGTGTCCTTGCTATTTCCAAACTGTTCATTACTTTGCAAACTAATTTCCTAACCCGTGGGCAGAGTGATTTGTCAAGCACCTGCCAGGTTCTAGAGGATATGCCAGGGCCCTACCTCCTTCACCACTGAAGCTGAAAGTGTGGATATCCTGAAGCTGTTACTGACAGGGAGGGCTCTGAGGCTGCAGGAGGTTGAGAGTTGCTAACTGGTAGAGTTGGGGCCCAATCTGAGAACTTCCCTCTGGAAGCCTTGTGCTCTCCCTGACACTTCGGTGACTTTTACAAACCACCTGTGGTAATACTTTCAGGCAGCTTTACATAAATTCTTTATTATTTACAGAGAAGGAAAGTTTTGCATATTTAAGGCATGATCCTCACTGAGGTCTGAGTTCATCGTGCGCCTGTGGCTTGGCTGTGGGAATGGCTTGTTCACTGATTCCTACTAGATGGTGGTTAAGCATGAGAGGCTTCTCTGGGAATGGTGTTGGGGAGCCCCTGGAACCCAGGCTCTTGTCACTGCCAAGATCTAAGCACGGAGCCTGTGTGGAGGAAAGCCCAGAGAAGAGGTTGGAGAGCCAGGGCCCAGAGTAACTTGACCCACAGTCCTTTGGGCACATTTCTAAGCCAACCCCACACCTCTGGGCATTTCAGTTTCTGCCACGCTGCCATGGCCTATCGATCCAGTGCTTTGGGGGCCTGGCTGAGAGCTCAGCAGTGTGTCCTAGAGTGGGCATCTGTGGGGCAGGGTAAACCAAGGGGTGGAGGGGGGTCAAGGGGGTCAGACCCTGAGAGCTGTCTGTAGATCTTTCTCTCCTGGCTTCCTACCATTTCCACTACAGGTGGCAGCGGTGGGAGTGAAAGTCAGGAGGAAGAAGAAGCTCAAGAGAAGAATAGCAGCCCACCACGGCCAACAAGCTCAGCTCCAATGGGGGCCAGGGAATTCACCGACAAAGCACAGCCCAGACAACAGGAGTTGCAACTACAACAGTCAGAACAGCAACCAGAGAAGCAGCCACAAAGCCAGCCATCAGAACAGCAGTTGGAGTTGCAGCAGCAGCAGCAAGATGGGGAAGACCAGCTGCCTCAACAAAAGAAAGACCTGCAGGGAACACCCCAACCTGTGCCACCTGGACAGCAGAAACCCCAACTGCAGCTGATACAACAGCAGGAACAAGCACAGGAGCAGCCTCAGGAGCAGCACTTGTATGAGCAACAACTGTGGCAGCAACAAAAGGAACAGTTACAGCAGCAGGACCAGTTACAGCAGCAGCAGGAGGAGGAACAGTTACAGCAGCAGCAGCACCTGCAGCAGCAACAATTGCAGCAGCAGGTGGAGGAACAGTTACAGCAGCAGCAGCAACACCACCAGCAGCAGAAGGAGGAACAGTTACAGCTGCAGCAGCAGCAGGAGGAGAAACAGTTACAGCTGCAGCAGCAGCAAGAGGAAAAACAGTTACAGCAACAGCAGCACATGCAACAGGACCAGTCACAGCAGCAGCAGGAGGAACAGTTACAGCACCTGCAGCAGGAACAGTTACAGCAGCAGCTGCAGCAGCAGCAGGAACAGTTACAGCAGCAGCACCTACAGCAGCAACAGTTACAGCAGCAGCACTTGCAGCAGCAGCAGGAACTGTTACAGCAGCGCCAGCAGCAACAGTTACAGATGCAGCAGATGCAGCAACAACAAGAACTGTTAGAGCAACAGCAGCATCAACAGTTACAGATGGAGCAGCTGCAGCAGCAGGAACGGCTACAGCAGCAGCTGCAGCAGCAACAGTTACAACAGCAGCTGTTGCAGCAGCAGCAGTTACAGCAGCATCAGCAGCTGTTGCATCAACAGCAGCTGCAGCACCCAGAACAGTTGCAACAACAGCAGCTGCAGCAGCCAGAACAGTTGCAACCACAGCAGCAGCAGCAGCCCTGTCCACTGGAGCCAGAGGAGGAGGAAGAAGTGGAGCTGGAGCTCATGCCAGTGGACCTGGGGTCGGAGCAGGAACTGGAGCAGCAGCGGCAGGAGTTGGAGCGGCAGCAGGAGCTGGAGAGACAGCAGGAACAGCGGCAGCTGCAGCTCAAACTGCAGGAGCAGCTGCAGCAGCTGGAGCAGCAGCTGGAGCAGCAGCAGCAGCTGGAGCAGCAGCAGCTGGAGGAGCAGCAGGAGGTGCAGTTGGAGCTGACCCCAGTGGAGCTGGGAGCCCAGCAGCAGGAGGTGCAGCTGGAGCTGACCCCCGTGCAGCCGGAGCTGCAGCTGGAGCTGGTGCCCGCCACGGGGGGCGGCGGGACTCCGGCCCCGGGGGCTCCAGCCGCGGTCGTGGTGGCCCCCCCGGGCTACGTGGTGCTGCAGGAGCTCATGGTGCTGCCTGCCGTGGCCGCGCCCGCGGTGGTGGCCATTCCCGGCCCCGCGGGCAGCGCGGCTCTGACTCCAGCCAGGCAGCGGCGGCGGCGGCGTGCGCGGGATCGGCCGACCATCTGCGGGGAGTGTGGCAAGGGCTTCAGCCGCAGCACGGACCTGGTGCGCCACCAGGCCACGCACACGGGCGAGCGGCCGCACCGCTGCGGCGAGTGCGGCAAGGGCTTCTCGCAGCACTCCAACCTGGTGACGCACCAGCGCATCCACACCGGTGAGAAGCCCTACGCCTGCTCCTACTGCGCCAAGCGCTTCAGCGAGAGCTCGGCGCTCGTGCAGCACCAGCGCACGCACACGGGCGAGCGGCCCTACGCCTGCGGCGACTGCGGCAAGCGCTTCAGCGTCTCGTCCAACCTTCTGCGCCACCGGCGCACACACTCGGGTGAGCGGCCCTACGTTTGCGAGGACTGCGGCGAGCGCTTCCGCCACAAGGTGCAGATCCGCCGCCACGAGCGCCAGCTGCACGGCGCCGGCCGCTCGCGGGGCCTGGGCCTGCTCCGTGGCACACGCGCGGCCACCGGCGGCCCAGCACGCTCAGAGCAGGCAGCGGGGGCTGCGGACAAGGCACCGTGACTGGGACGGGCGGGGACGGGCGGGGACGGGGTGGGGGGGCACGCTGGGGTCCGGGAGAGCGCAGGCTCCTCCCGCCCTGATCCATGGTGTGTGCGCGCCTCCTGGAAATTGGCTGTGGCCAGGCTTCTGGCTCTCCCCCTGGTTAGCAGAGGGGAGGCCAAGTTCACACATGGACCCTCGGGAAGGCTGCACCTCCTTAAGAGGGAAGCCGCTGCGGCCAGGCAGCACAGATGTTGCACATCTGTAAGAACAGCTCGCCGCACACATTTCTTATTGGGTACCAATCCGTGAGGAGTCTGCAAAGCCCTTCCCCTGGAAAACTGGACTTCGTAGAAGTGAGAGCCACAGGAGAAAACTGCCGGTGATGCATGTGACAGTTGGTGACATTAGACATGCATTGAACACTAACCAGGGAATCAAATACATGTGGTGAAACGCACAGGAATAGGATTTGATCCTGGTGAAAATTTCTTCAAAGAAAAAAATGGGGGAAGAAAGGAAATTTATCTGCACTTTGTAGAAAACTGATCAAGGCATTGAATTGTCCTCAGTGGCATTTGCCTTGAAAGTACTTTCTAGAATGAAAATTCATCAGGGTGGATATAATCCTGATTAAAATGTGTTCCTAAGCACAGGGTCAGAGTGTCTACTGGGTCAGTGCACAAATGCCAGGAAGCCCCTCCCTGGGTGGGAGCTACACCTTCCCTCCAGGGGAACTAAGGGCTCCAATAAGCATGAAAGTCAGGCTCTAGCCGGCTTTGCTGCCAAGTTCCCGAGCCCACAGGGGCCTTTCAGTGTCCTCTTGACCAGGAGCCTGCCGCTGAAACAGAGGGCATTCTGAGAATGCTCCCTGAGGTCCAGCAGAGTGATCCCCTTGGGGACAGAGTTCTGAGGAAGCCCCTCCCTGACCTCCCTGAGATCCACCAGCTCTAAGCATCTCTTTTGCTTGCCCTGGGGACTAAGGCTGTGGGGTTGGGGCCTTGAGACCCAGGGGCAGTGTTCTCCTGGGCCAGGCTATGCAAGGTGCTGGCCCGAGCAGATCCTGCCTCATCACTGGGAGAGGGGGTCAGAGGGATAAATTGGGGGACAGAAGTTGGAGGCAACAGAAATGCTTTTTACAACGTTTACAGAATTGTCTGGGGGATCTGTGAGAGCTTCAGCAATGTTAATCCCTGTGGGAAGGCAGGATGGTGGAGGAGGCTACCCGCCCCTGCTGCCCCCAAGGGTTTCCTGCTCTCGGCTTCCCATGTGTGGCTGCTTAGATCCTGCACCCCTTATTGTCCCCCTGCTTCTCCTTTACTAACACAGCCTGCTACATCTTACAAATGTGTTGGTAAGTGAGAAACAAAAATTGAAAAATAAATTTAAATGGAAGAAATACATTGTCTTATCTCTATGTTTTCACTCCCAGGTTTTGTGTCTTGCCATAAAATGGGATGAGGACCTGAGTGTAGATGCTCAAGAAGGCCAGTTTGGGCTTCTCTTAAGGACAGCTTGAAATCATTTCAGAAGTGGCTGCATTTTCCCTTGCTCTGCCACCGTTTACAGTATTTGTGTACAATAGTGATTTCCTGGGTCCCTGCTGCCCCCCATAGGCCCTGATGGGCTAAAGCCATTTCCCTGAGTAACCCATTCACTGAGGGGGTGGGATAGCAGATCTTTCAACTGAGGCTATGACCCCTCAGGGGTGAAGGTCTGAGTCATCTTGTTAGACAGGCCTCTGAGACCAGCAGAGGTCCTAAGGCAAGGGGACCCAGGGATGATGGGGTAGACGAGGGGGCATGCAGGGTGTGAGTGGATCTGTGTGAGACAACAAGTGGCCTGGACAAGTGTTGATTCTCTGCCCACATCTTGGGTGGGTACTTGTGCAGATACGTAGGCTCTCCCCACCCTGCCTGGCTTCCCCCAGCAGCATCTGCAGCTCTTCTATCTCACACACTCTCAGAGAAGGGAAAGTGGCCCCTAACCCAACTCTGAAGAGTTGCAAAAGCCCAGCTCCCTTTCTCACGCTGGGACAAGTCTGAGGCACCACTTCTGCTCCAGAGGAGCCCTGAGACAAGGTGGAAGGCTCTTGCCTCTGTAGGGCTTTGCCTGAGAGCCTCTTTATCCCCTCCCCTGTGCCGCACCCCTGCTCCCACCAGCTTCCCCTGGCTCTTTCCTTGAGGGAACATTCTGCATTCTACTTCTGCGGAACCCAAGACAGGGACCCGCATCCAGGTGGAGAGGCTGAGCCTATTGGTAAGTGAAGGCCGTGTGCTGGGGCCTGGGGTGGGGAAGGGGACGTGTTCCAGGTGTAGAACAGGTGGCCCCAGGTGTTGACAGGCATCGCCGAAGAGCTCACAGCCCAGTAGGAGAGAGACAGGTGGTAATACAATGGGATGGGCTACAGGGGAGAGAGCACCTGACTCTCTGATATGGGGAGCCAGTGACCTCACAGGAGGTCTTGCTGAGCCATAGGTGTTTGCAAGGTGAGGTCAGGAGGGATTGGAGGGGAAGGTGGTCCAGACAGAAGTCACATGGTAAAGTGGATCAGAGCCAGAGGGACTGATGTGATTAGGAACTGTGAGTTTCCGGGTGGCTGGGAGGTCGGTGCTACAGGAGACAGGTGATGGAATGAAAGGGAGAGCTAGGGGCTAGATTTTATAGAATCCATTAACCTCAAGATCCTAAATTCCTCCTGTTTACAGGCCTGACTTGTCCCCAGAACTTCTCAGCATCTCTGTCACCTCTATTAGACTTCTCCATTTCCATAGGCATCTAAGACTATGCAAGCCTGCCCTCTGTGCGCCCCCTCCATAACTCCTGAGTCTGGAAGCCCAGCCAGGTGTGGCTCCTGGAAGGCTCCATGAGGCAGGCTCTGTCCATTGGGGGGGGGGGCTGCCCACCCCTGATCACTGCCCTCATCACTCAACTGTCCTCCACCTTGCTTTTGCCACCTAACCACAAACCAGCTCAGTCCCCAGTCCTGGCTACCTCCACCCCCATCCCTATCAGCAGTCTAGCCAGCAGAGACTGGAATAGGCACCCTCTTCAGCGCCTGAGCCATCTCTCACTCCTGTACTTATGTCTTGAACAAATGTCATGGGAAGAACCTTGGTGCAAGTCAGGGTGGGGATGGGGGGGCCTGATCTAGAAGATGCGCTGCCCACCCACCTGCCCTAGCCAGGGTGCCTAGGGCTCCTGCCTGCTGTCCTCACCCCAGTGTCTCTGCATCCTGAGCTCCTGTCTGTGTGGCCAGAAACCCAACATCGGCTCATCCCCATTCACAGCTCCCAGGACCAGTGCTTCCCAGACTGGGATTCCTGTATTCAGAGTGGGGGAATCGTGGGCACAGAGACACTTGACACACCAGGGCTATGTAGCAAGGAGGTAGGCTCCTCATCTCCTCGGCCCTGCAAGCACTCCCCCTCTACCTGGTAGCTGCAGTTCCATCATGTCCAACTCTTTGGGCTGGCCCTTGGGCTGTATTTGTGCCATATCAGGAGCTGGCTGGCTAAGCTCAGAATTCTCTAAAATGGAAAATCCCCAGGGAATGAGATAAAATCAAATCTATAAAGCAGAAAAGAGCCTGACTCATTACTGGTCTTTGCTTCCTTTGAGTCAACTTGGTATCTTTTAGGAAATTTTAATGTTTCTCCAGGGAAGACTTGGGGATTGGAATTCTGGCCACCAGTTACTGTGTGACAACTTTCCTTGCTTCTAAAATGGGAGCAAGAGTGTCTATTGTTCTGGGTTACTGTGTGTCAAACACAAAAGGCTAAGTAATACAGGGAAACAGGCCCAGAGTTCAAATATGTTTGTTGCATCTAAAGCAAGAAAGAGTCACACACAAATTCTTTCCTCTGGTTGTATTTTCTATGAGATAAGGCTTTCTACTATTCCTACGTTAAAAATTTTAGACATTGTAGAAATGAATTGTGAGACCCACCCTAGACAGTCAAAGGGCATAGCTGTGCCCTTAGGATCCTCCCCTGCAGGTAGGATCTGGTAGGGTCCCCAGGCAACTCCATTCCAGCCTATGACATCAGGATCTACCCTCGAACTTCTCTCTTGGACTTGAAGACTCATCGGTCTCCCAGACTTGGATATTACAAAAATCTAAAGCTCAATAAGATCACACAGAGCTCTTAATTCCTGGCCAAGCCTGCATCTCCTGATTCCTCCCTTCACTGGCTGGCAGCACCAACTACCTGGAGACTGAGACAAACACCCAGGAATCCTTCTAGATGTCCCCTGTTTTTCCTAATGCCCTCTGCTTCAGTTAACTATAATTGTGCAATAATCCACCTAAAATAGTGGCTAAAAACAACAGATGCTTTATTATTTTTCATGGTTCTGCAGATTGCCTAGGCTCAGCTGGGTGGTTCTTCTCCCCCATGTGATCATCTGATGGCTCAGTGGGGCTGAGACATGGGTTCATCATGAGGCTGGTAGTTGATACTGGCGATCGGCTGGGAGCTCAGTGGGGCTGTCCACTGGAGCGCCTACCCATAACTTCTCTATGTGACCAGGGAGTAGAGTGTCTGAGTCCCAAGAGACCTGGGCTTAGATCTGCAAAGCTTCTTGTGATCTAACCTTAGAAGTTGTGTGGTGTCACTTATGCTGGATGCTGTTTATCAAGCTAAGTCACAGTCCCAGCGCAGATCAAGGGGCTGTGGGATCAAGCCCTGAGTCGGGCTCTGTGCTGGGCATGGAGCCTGCTTGGGATTCTCTCTCTCTCTCTCTCTGCCCCTCCCCCTCCCTAAAAAATAGAAGGCAGCTGTAAAAATAAGTACAAGGGAAACAAAACTGTTGTTAAATTATGGTGAGACCCAGTTGCTCAGTGGAAGTTCCAAATTTAAGGCCTGCTCTGTCTTTGTCTAAAGGGTGATGACCATGTGTGGGAGAGGTATTGGAGACCAGCAGCCCCATAGAGAGACCTTCTCTTTGATGCTATCAGAGGACCTGGAGGAGAAGTGGCAGGAAAGGTGACAAGGTAACAACTGGGTATTACTGAAAGTTCTTCCCAGCACCCCTTTAAACCATCTCTGTCTCACATGATCTGCAGGAGAAAATTCGAATTCCTTGCCTCAAATAAGAAGCTTTTCAGGGGGTATCCCTGGGTGGCGCAGCGGTTTGTCGACTGCCTTTGGCCCAGGGCGCGATCCTGGAGACCCGGGATCGAATCCCACGTCGGGCTCCCGGTGCATGGAGCCTGCTTCTCCCTCTGCCTGTGTCTCTGCCTCTCTCTCTCTCTCTCTGACTATCATAAATAAATAAATTTTTTTTTTTTTTTTAAAAGAAGCTTTTCAGGGGATGCCTGGGTGGCTCAGCAGTTGAGCAGCTGCCTTCAGCTCAGGGCATAATCCCGGGGTCCAGGATCAAGTCCAGCATTGGGCTCCTTGTGGGGAGCCTACTTCTCTTTCTGCCTATGTCTCTACCTCTGTGGGTGTGTGTGTCTCTCATAAATAAATAACATAAAAATTTTTTTCAGGTTTTCTCTGGCTGCCACCTCACACCCTTTTGAAAACCTTTTAGGCTCCTTCCTACCACGTTCTGTCAGGCAGTACAAACTGGCCATAAAATTGACTTACTCTCAACTTATTTATCTGTTTTCAGAATAAGTAAGCAATCAATGGTGAGGTAAGTAAATACATAAACACAAATCAAATTTGAACAAGGCCACTTAATCTGTACACTGATGATTTTTGCCCCTTGCCCCAGGGGTGTGGTTTAGGAAACTGCTGAGGGACTCAGTCATGGGCAGGGGAGGGAAGGAATGGGGCTAGGGTGGGAGAGGTGGCGAGGGGAGGTTGTCCGCAGCCTTGAGGAGCTGCTGGAGCAGCCTGGGACCACCCCCATCAGAACACCTCTCACCAGAGGGCAGTAACACCTTGGTTTGCATAGACTGCTGCTTAGCTGGGGTTTCCTGCTACTCATTGCTGAATTCAATCTCGACAGATTTCCCAAATCCACCTGAAGAAGAAGTAACTAACTTAAAAACAGATTTTAAACAAGATGTAAGAAATCAAATGGTGTCCCCCAAAACAGACTTTTGCTTTTGGGGGCCTGTTAAAGATGTAGTCATGAAATTGAGTTTAACAGTAGCCTCTTCTGCCTAATTCCTGCTCACCCCTCCAAGGGGATGATGGCCGTAAAGAGGTTGTCAGCCCCCCAGTGATTGTCATGAAGCTCATTCTGTGTGTCAGCCTTCCTGTGGTTCGACAGCAGGGGCACAGGAATGTGGGAGGTATGTGGCATACAGGTGCATTTGGAATTCTGGGAGGCCCATGCCAGCCATCTCTGTCTCTCTAGGAGCACACACACTTGGGGCTGGCGCTGCCTCTGCACAGACCCACTGCAGGCATTGCCACTGCCTTCAGGGACTGGCCCCTTGTC